TTGTGTGCGAAGCGTCGACGTCAATGTCGCCGTCGTCGTCGTCTTTTTCGTTTTTCGTTTACTGTTCTTGTTGTCGTTTTTGTTGTTATCGCCTGTTGAAGTGTGCCCGCCTTCCTCTTGAATCATTCTGAAGAAAACTGCCAACGGCAATGATTCTGCTCAATTGCCTTCATTGTGTGAGTGCGAGTGTGAGTGCAAGTGCGAGGGTGGGTGCGAGTGCGAGCGTGAGCGCAAGTGTGACTGCGAGTGTGTGCGTATACTGAGAGCAGAGCTCGTATATGCTATTTGATTTTTATTTTCGCTGTCAATTCTGTAATGGTCCTGTATATAGGCGATTCGCATGGATGTAATTTGTGAATATACATACATATATACGTACATACATACATATGCGGGATAAGGAAAGTAGCAGAGATCAGCATATTATGATTATTGATTCTTATTTGTTTTTGCTTCCTTGAAATTAAATGGATGTTGAATTAACATACATATACATACATACATATTCTCTAATTACACCAATCGCATGAAATATTGGAAGTTGAATATTTTGTGAAATACTCACTACAGCTGCCAAACAGAATTAAATTGATAACAATAAATCTGTCAACTCTGAACGGACTCGCTTTTTATTTCGTTTTTCACGAAAGCCTAACAGGTGTCAGCCGCGCCGGCTTTTGAGGAAAAGAACGTGTTGTTTCTGTGATTGCGTTAATTTGTGTCCATCTTCCTTAACAGTAAGGGCCAGAAGAGTTCAGGTGAGCCATATAAAGACTATCACTAGCAGTGCCATAAAGTAGGTCATCTCACAAAGTCAATGTATTTATAGGAAATATAGGAACTAATTGATCAGCCCCAAGCCGTAAATTTTTGCAATTAGTCAGACAGGAAGTAAACGAGCTGCAAATGTCGCGGCTTCTGAATAACGACTCGCAGATCTATGTGAGTCGTATCTAATTGAAAGACAGTATATGGCTCACAGCTTTCACTCGGTACAATATGAGAGAAGTGCACTTGGATGGAAATATGATTCCTATGTGGGTCAATCTATTTCGATGGTACTCCACACACATATCGTATAATTCAAGGCATCTGTCATAGGAAATGACAAAATCATTATTTGCGGATGGCAAAACGACGATATTAGAATACTACAATATCGAATGGGAAAACACTTACATTTCGAGACCGCAATACTCTATAGAACAGCGAGGAACGAGCGAACAGGGTAGAAAGATTCACCAAAGAATAGAAACCCAGCTGCTTGAATCAAATATTCAATTTCAATTCAAAAAGTATTTTCTAATTTAACAAAGTGTTTACATCACAGCTATTTCCCTAAGAAATAGAAATATATCACAGTTATCGCCATCGGAAAGCAGAGAAACCATCAAAGGTTCTAGATCCATATCAGCTCAGCAGTCTGTATAGTTCTAGAATAATTCATAAAAAATAAACTCTATATAGATACAAACGAATTATTGTTTTATTTTCATTAAGTATATACATATAGGTACTGCCACATCACAGGCTATCAGATGGCCCTGAAGGCTCATGCCCTTAATCTATTCTGTACAGTATTTACTCCTCCCACCTTCCAATACTTATACTTATTGATATTGTTATACTTAATTCATATTACTGCTCTGAAACCCTCTCTACTGACCAAACAAACTATACCGTAACGTTACGTCAAACCGTAATCGCATGGGAAAAGGGGGGATATACTTTGGGAATGCTTTCAAAGAATATAATAAAATGTTCCTCTTGGTATGGGTCGCCTTAGAGCAAAATGTCACTTAAACAAATTATATGTCATATGTACATACCTTTTCAAAACTCCACAAATTAATAAGTTACAGCATATCTGTAAAATTGTGAAAATACTGATTTATGCTGACATAAAAAATACATATTTCACGAGCTAGGCCTTAATTATATAGCACATTTAGTATAACATGCCAGATTTTAAATACAATATCGTTTAGAATTGGATTTATTTTACTTTTTAAGTAATAAGCACTTGGGAAAACTTTCCTGAGGAGAGTGAGGACAAATTGAATAAAAAGACAAAGGCAACAATTAAGAAGGCTCTAGTCGAGACTGCTCGACTAGGAGATACCCTGAACCGTTTAAGCTGATATTCTACTCATTCTGCACTTCTTTTATGAACCCATGCAGACAAACGCATCCAGACGCACGTATAATCACGCGCTCTGCTGACTGCGCAGATAGCAGAGACGGTATTCGGGCTGTGCTGCAGTGTGGGCAATATTATGAGAATCTATTTGTTGTTCATCTTAATGAAACCTTCAGAGCATGATCATATGGTTAAAATGTTTGTACATTTGAAAGCACAAGAACCTCTAGTATTGGAAATACGTTTTTTACAAATTGTGGGCGAAGGGGGCGTGGTATCCAAAATCTTCATATTCATCGAATGGTCTGCAGGTCTAAAAGTGCTCAAATTAGTCTGAAATAACAAAATCAATTTTTCGATTATTATCGATAAAAAAGTTATTGGATGAGTTATCGAAAAAATATAATGAACTTGTATTGCGTATAGTACACACGAGTCGACATGCAAAATTTCAGCTCTCTAAGTTATGAGATCTAGGCGTTTATACGGACGGACGGACGGACGGATAGACGGATAGACGTACAGTGCATTATCGACTCAGCTCGTCGCCCTTATCATGAATATATGTATGTATATACTTTATGGGGTCTGCCATGATTCCTTCTGCCTATTACATACTTTTCACAAAATTATTATACCCCGATTAACCATTTTCAATAGGTTCAGGGTATAACAATACTTATTCAACCACAAGAATAGAAGAGAAAAGGTCAAAAAGCCGTTGAAGTGCTCCAGTATCGTCGCCAAAATAACTTCAAAGTTAATGGACTAGAAATATAAGATGAGGGATGGACATTAAGTAAGATGTGTGTAGGTAGTAGGAATTCTCTTATTGGGTTTCACTGAAAGTAGCACAAGCATAAATATGTTATATTGGTAGAGTGGAGAAATATGTAGCCTCTGGTTGTAACAATGTATCAAGCGAATATGCTTTAAATTTCAATGCTTTGAGGTAGCCCAATCGGAAATTTAAATCTAATCGTCAGTTCTGAAATAGACCTAAATGATGTTTGCTAAGAGTTAAGGTAAGATTATGCTGGTCCTCCACATACGAGTGCAAATACATTTATGGTGGTCAACTTTTACCAGAAATAGGCAAAAGCCAACTCGAGGGAAAACGTTTAATTTCCTCTTAGTTCAGCATCGAGCAAGCGACGAGCAATTTGTTTGAAATGCAGGTCCACCCCAACCAGGATTAGCAAAGCCCTCCAGCTAGTCAGCCAGTCAGTTAGTGAGCTAGTCGCCCAGCCGGCTATTCAGGCAGTCATCAACCCACAAAGAGCGCAAACTTCAGCTGTCATCCGCACTTGGAATACTATCGGAGAATCGCTTGTTCTCCTTTTCTCTGGATGGGCGGCAGCCAAAGTTTAAATGTCAAGTGGGGTTCGCAGTGCAGGAAAATATTTTTCATTTAGCTCGGATGCCTTTGGCCTAACGGGGGTGTCTGCCACACATATTTTGTGGCATTCAATTGAAATATCAGCACGTGCCACTTGGCAGCTTCGAATATTATGCCAAGTCAAGTTAAGTTTGCTCTTTCGCGCTGCTCTTCATCATGTTTCATCATCATCGACCATTTGTCTTAAACTTCCTGAAGCAGTACGTTATGCGCGTAAGCCCACAAATTTCATTAAGAAATTCCAAACATATTTCGAAATTCGAATTATTATATTACTCCGCTATAAACTTGATAAGCGTTAGATGGTCCGTCCGGCTAAAGAACTTTCTGTCTGGGATGCTAATTGAATGTGAGTAAACTTTTATAATTATACGTAACAATATAATTATAATTATAATTTATATATTACCAACAATTTTTGACTATTTAGCTAATGGTTCAAACTATAAATATTGTGTAAACAAACTATAAATATTGTATTAAAACAAATGAGTTCTAATAAGATTGCTCGTTGATCATCGTCCGTAAGTAAATCAGCATTCCTCTATTTCATATACATATTTTGTTTATTTATTTTAGTTTTCTCTTTGTAGCTACATATTATAGAACGAACCTTGATACTTACATAAATACGCGTTGACATTCGTAAGGGCGTGCACGACGCAATTTCAACTTGAAGCCTGCGCAATGAACGTGCGTGGGCGTGACTGTCCAGAAAGTAGCACCAATCGTCATTGGCGGATATTACGCAACATTTTTATCCGCCAGTCGGATGAGAGATGCAGAGGCGAGAGGACGCTGCGACCCACTTGTTGCTAAACCTCGCGAATGAAGTCGAAACAGGAGGAGGAGGAGGAGGAGGAGCAGCAGCATCTGGATGTTGCCCATTATAGCAGAGCATGTGCAGAGTGCGTGTGGAAATGCTTTGGGCTGTCAGCACGTAGCAGTCATCACGAAAACATAATCCATGAAATAATTCAGCTAGCATTTATGGCCTCTGTAGTCTTTTTATTATATTAGTCTCTTAGCCAACTCGTTATATTCTTTTAACTTACTGCTGCAGGCATATAGGGAGCAGATGACAGATAAGGTAATTTATGGTCTTTGATAATTATTAGACATGCAATTTTTATCCTAAGAGTAAGTCGTCAAAATAAAGTTCTGCCCTTTTTTTTATATACGAGTATATACTAGTTCGATAATCCCGTAACGTTTAATTAGGTCGATTTTTGTTTTTTTTTTTTTTTTTTTTTTTTTTTTTTGTCAAAAAGACTTACAATGCATTTTTCCTTATTTAATTTAACTGTCTAATTAAATTTGAAAGCTTTAGCTTAAAACAAATTAATCTTAAATTATACTTTCTACACGTTCCCATAATCCTAAGCGAATTGCACTGAAGTATCTAACACAACAAACTTGCCTATATTGTAGTAGTTAAAAATTGAATCGAATTTGGTGGCGTTTAAGTAAATAAAACAATTTATTACTATTATAAAAAATACACACAGAATTCTCATAATCGCGGCACACTTACCTTACAAACTATACTTAAGTTTATTTGTTCTGAATCAATATTGAATTGTATATATTTTTGTATAGATTTTGTATAACGTAAACTCAACCAAATATTATATATCTGAATATTGTACAATAGACCGGAGTATTTATTTAGTTAGTTATATTTATATCTGATTATACTACGCGTCGTGGATCTTTAGGTTCTCAAATTCGTCGAGCGTGTCTTCCGAGCCGGATGCCGTCAAATCCGACAGCTCGTCAAGACACTTTTGGCGTTTGCGCACATTCCAATGCAGACCCTCAGCCAGTGAATCGAACCAGTCGGATATCTGATCCTGTGCGCAAATGCTCGGTACAGGATAAATAGAGGTTGTTACTCGCAAGAAGTCACCATGATTTAGCTCCTGATCATTTCGGCCGTCGAAGGATACGCGCGACGTATTCCTACTATCCGGAGATATCGATATCTAAGACGAGAAAATAAAATTGAGACTTAAGGCTACACAACGACTTCGACCGTCTTACCTTCAGCTCCACTCCGGCTGGTACTACAATTGGTCTAAAACTTAGTGAATGTGGACAGATGGGAGTTACCAGAATAGCCGGCACAGATGGATGGATCATGGACGCACCAGCGGCTGCCGCGTAGGCTGTGCTGCCCGTGGGCGTCGACACAATCAACCCATCTCCTTGCACAGATGTGATGTACTTGCCGTCCAAGAAAATATCAATGTTGCTCAAGTAGGGGGATGGGCCCCGATTGATGACCACCTCGTTTAACACCAGAATACTGCTGTAGCCAGGAGCAGCCTGTGCTGAGGATGGACTACAGTTGTTATTGCTGGCTTTTGGGTTACCCAATTCGCCGTAGTGGGATTGTCGTTGCGAGAAAGGCTTTAAGAGATTACTAGATTGCTGCAGAGACTCCCTCCGGCGCTCGCCTTTCCGGTGGATTGAACAACGCAAGCGACTTCGTAGCGTGAGTGCGGCATGACCCTCCAGCACATTGGTCACTTGTTCTTGGAAGTTGTCACACTGGAACGGTGTCAGGAACCCCAATGAACCCAGATAGAAGGCCATAACAGGAGGAACCGATTGCTGGAATAACTGTGAGGCATACAGCAGCGTTCCATCGCCTCCCAGGCAGACAATAAAGTCAATGCGATCGGTGAGATCATCGCGTCCATCTCTGTAGCAAAGACACCCAAAAATTGTCAGTATGATCATAAGCGTGGTTACATTCTAATGGTACTCGTATTTACTTAAAGGTCACTAGCTTCTCCCGCAGTGCGAGGAAACGAGAGCGTACTCCAGTGTAATACTCGTGAACCAGACGGAACTTCGCGCTTTCTTCCTCCAGTCGGACGTCGTCGCGCAGCAACTTGTCTTCCAGCACTGCGGACTCCACCCATACGACCATATTTTTCTCCTGGACCAGCCATTCAACCAGCTGCACAAACGGCAGCAGCACCTGGGAGTCCTTCTTCTTAATTACGAGGACCGTCAACGGTGGCTTATACCAGGTCAGACGCTGGCTGGCGGGATCTTGGATTTGCATTACCATTGCTGAGTTCTTCATGATGCGCCCGCATGGTCCAAACTGCTGGAACGGCGAAGGTGCATTTAGGCTACGTGTGCGCCTGAAATACATGTTTCGAAAACAGACGTGGAACTATTAAGTTGAGATTAATACGAAAATGTTTAAGTTGAACCTCAAAATTCGCGGCTCGGGATCTTGGCCATAATCTCGGCCTATATGCTTGGAAACAAGGCCTAAATGCAGCGACGCAAGACGCAATTTCGGATGCTGCATATTTGTAGCTCTGAAACTTATTTTTATGTGGACTTTATAGCCATGTGAGGTGCAGAGAGCAAAGCACAGCAAAGCTAATTTCTTCTCTTAAATAACAGTTCTTATGTGCACGAAAATTATTGGAATTTCCGTTGTCTCGCTCGCTCTGGTTAGTGCGAATCGATTGAAGGTTACAAACTCACTGAAAGGCCAAAAAGTATCTGAGAATATACGATTTTGTTCGTTACAGCGACAGCATTAAGAAACTCGTTTAGCCTCGAACAACGGAAACTGCACACTCGTTGAGGAGAGCAAGAGAGAGAGAGGGAGTAAGAGAGCAATAGAGCGAGACAGACAGTTGGTAAGAGAGAGCTCAGCCTAAAAGCGAAAGGAATGAATAAAAGTACTGCGTTGGTAGAAAACTCGGATGTCAGGTTTCATGCAGGGCAGTATATTATTGCTGTGATACATCTCTTCACATATCGTATAAGTCCCTAGATCTCGGGTCGGTAGCACAACAACATAAGCGAGGAATGATCTGTTGCTCTCGTGGATCGTGGTTTTCTCGAATATGTTTCAGCTGCTGACTGAAACGGCTTCTTACAGCCGGTAGGTATTATATTCTCAATTGGTACCCGAAACAAATGCTGTACCGTTTATGCGTCTACCCACGCGGGGAATAAAGCTCTCGGCATTTCAATACCTTCAAAGGAACACTAATTGAAGACAAGGTAAGCCTACCTGATACTGACACTGGTACTGATAGCAACGTCGATCAGTGTGACGCTGTGACTTTCTATCTAAATGGATAAGATATGCCGAACATATTCAATAAAGAAATGATAATAGTTAGGTATGCAGTTAGGACTGCCTTAGACTGCTGTTTGAAATACAATATTTCCAGATATGCCCACTCCCGAAAACAAGTAATTTATGGGACCACCTGTCGAGGGGGTTAATACTGATCTACTAGAAAATGTTCGATCTGATTCTTCGTACGGATCACAAGTCCGGCAGTGGATAAAGCACGCGTGCACGCGTATTGAAAGCAATTCAAACGAATTTTGCATAAATTTTAGATAGACGTATCCACCTATTTAGTTGGTTCCACTGTGCGACGGGACAAAAACCGCACCTCATTGACTTCTAGACATTTCGCTAGGGTATTAATTAAGGGCCGTCTGGGGTTTGTTTAACATACTGCGAACGTACATGCAAATTGAAGGTTAACGCTTTTGACCCGCTGCACCTTAGGAGCCCTCATTTCGCAGATTGATTTGATTTTGAGTTTTCGCTGTCCGCTGGTCATGAAGTTTTTTTTTTTATGTGTTTTATTTATGAATGGCGCCTCGCACAAACTGGCACGGAATTAATTAATACGCATTGACTGATATTCAATGCCTCGAGAGTTTTATAAAAACAAAAAGGCTAATAAACAACAACAAATTAAAGACAGTAGCTTGTAGAAACACAAAATAAAAAGTATACACACGTGCGGATCGGCTTTGATTCACAGACGGCGCAATCACAGCAAATGCCTAGCCATTCAAGACGTCCGCAAACTCGTTGCGAAGTGCCCCAAGACGGTGATAACTATTCACAGACAACTATTTCTATCCGTAACTAGATCTGTGCAGAAGGGTCACGGCCTCTATGCCGTCGTGTAGGTCAACATTTTTATATCGATCGACTTTGACGAAATACGGCATATTCAATATACTCTTTATGTCAGCTTCGCTAAGTCTATCTATATAATAATACACTCGAATAGACATTTATATAAATATGGAATGCACTCGTTCTAACCTTGAGCAGGAGCTCAAACACAAACCTATTAAAGCACTTTGCGTATTACCCTGATAACGAAATCTGGCTCATCATGCTGGCGTTAACATTTACTTCAAGAACATCTACGTGATAGTTGGGCACCAATTATTTATACATTTTGATAACTGACATGCTAGGTGAAAAGTATTACTGGGGCTTCACTACTTTGCCAGGCCTACTAGGCTGTGCATAAAAGCAGCAACGGTTTTCTGATCCAAATAAATAAATAATATTCAAGACTTACATGCAGTTCCCAGAACAAACTTCAATTGTATCCAGACATAATTGATTCGTATCTCGTAACGCTGGCTTATACCCAATGTACGTAATCTGAGAAGTGTTATCGGGCCCAAGCCCAATCTTTGCACGTGTATGGGTGCGCCGAAATTAAAGACTCACAATCGACACTCGAAATCGAGAAAGCAAATCAATCCACAACGTGTGCGCACAAATTATGAGAGCTTTCTGCAATCGCAGATTGGCCAGACCTAATCTATGTATTTTTGAAGGTCATTCGAGTGGTCTGTGAAGCGAACGGAGGCGATCTTGCTGGCTTATGCCTATCTATAGCCTAGGGCGATAGGTTTTGATTATTGTTACTTACGGCCAAGTGCCGGAGCGTCTGCGACGCGTCGTAGCTGTAAAGTAGTCATTACTATAGTACTCCAGTCCCTGAAGCGGCTTATCTTGATTATCTTTGGCAACGTTATCCTTTAGCCTGCTGACAGTTCTACTACAACTGCTGAAATTGCTTTTTGTCAACTGTTGGTGCGGGTGCTGATGGCGATGCTGACGCTGGCTGGCGCTCTGAAGGCCGAGGAGCTCATTGTAGTGGGTTAACTGTTGCAGCTCCTGGCTTCTTCCATGGGCTCCGACCCAGGTTAAGCCATAGTTCCAGCGCTCTTCGAGGCGGTGCTGATGTAGAGTGGCCAGATCGATGTCCGAGCGGCAAGACATGGCTCAGATGCAGCTTTTGCAAATGCACTTTTCAAGTAATTCAAGGATCACAAATCAAAGTTCACTTTCTCAATTTCTTAGCACATTGCGGAAACTTGATCAAGCTGCAATATTGTATTTCGTTAGATTAACGTTTTCTTGGCGTTACACACTGCTAGCCAAACCACTTTAAAGACGGCCCTGGCCGATTGCTCAAAAATGTAAACAGATTTAACCTTGCTCCCTTTTTCGAAAAGTGTTAAAACGAACTTCACAAAAACCACGAATATTTTATTGTTGAGTCAGTGAGATGCCTCTTGATTCAGCATGGTAGGCACCGACAAAACTTGGTAAGAGCGTGCAATATATTTTAAATGAAAATATCACAGTAGTATGTTGCTATTTTGCAACAGGTTTTAGAATACAAATGATGAAAAAACATTAGGTTTTTGCCTCTTCTTTTTTGCTTTTTCGCTTATGAATGCTTATGAATTTTGCTTAAGTTCCGGCTCTGACGTCAACTAATTGCCTTGGGTATTTGCATAGAGATTCCAGTCAACACCAAGTCAACGAGAAATCTCAGCATGAAAGAGAGCAGGAGACAGAGAGAGAAAGCAAAACAAAGAGCCAATCATCAATCATTAATCAGCATCTTTTGAGCACCATTTTTGACAAAGGACAGAAGCCCTTGGCAATAAATTGATGTACATGTATGTGGAATGAGGTCATTTTCTATAATAAATTATAATTTTGCAAAATTAATTTTTGAGTGCATAAACTGAGAAATAGGGTAGATTAATTTCTTGATGCAAAACAGGAAGCAATGCATTGATGTTCAAATATAAAAATTATTAATTACAATAATTGTGCACTTATATGAACTTGTAAACAAAGAAAACAATACATTAACGAGCAGGTTTGTAGCGATTTATTGAACAAAGAATCGTCATGAAAACAAAGCAAGTACATAATCTAGTATACTAGCTAGTATATACTAGGCTCGGGACTCGAGACTCAAGACTCAAGATTCAACACTCGTGCGTAATCGTTGGCTTGATCAGTGAGGCCACTCGAAGTCTTATTCATTCTTACAAAACAACGATTGCCGAAGAGGGCTGCTCGTGTAAACGCCCAAGATTGTTTCAGTTAAATGAGCACTCCTGTTAAGATAGAAGGACTATTAAAACACAGAAGTAACGTAGTTACATATTATATAAGATGGCGTTTTAAGCACACGTAGCTTTAGCCCTAGCTTCAAGCGAAGCCAACGACCGACATGAGAGAAAGAGAGCGAGCGAACGACCGACCGACAGAGATAGAGAGAGAATGAGATAATCTATACAAAAGACACGACATAAGTAGAGATATCACCAGAGAGAGGCAAGGGGAGAGAAGAGAGCGCGCCCCGCCGATCTCACGAAACACAACCGTGCTGTCTGGTGAACCAGCGATAACTGAACTGAAACGCCAAAAAGGTGATAAACTTATAAATTGTTGTGCGATTTGAAAATAAAAGTTTAGGACCGTCTCCAATCGTCGCAAGCGATCAGGTGTAAACAGCTGAGAAATTTTTGGACACGCGTCGTATAATCAACAGAGAGCGTGCGAGAGACAAACACAGGGAGAGACTAAATTTACTAACAGGTGCTTATGTGTCTAGTAGTATATATGTTTGTATTTATATAAATAAATAAAAAACAAACAGACCAACAACAGTAACCAAGTTATGTAAACAACGCAGTAATTGGCGACTAGTCTTGCCTAATTACTTATATTCGAGTCTAACAATTACAATGTATGCCGCCTGTAAAAAAGCAGCTAGTTCTCCTTTAGAATGTGAGTGTATGCGCGTGTTCGTTTATATGCATCCCACTAATTAATTCAACTACTTCTTTTACTTACCACCACCAACGCATTTCTCTATCGGTAGCAGTGCCATTGGTCAGCAGGCCAGGGCCAGGAGCAGAGGACGCTGATCCATTGTTGTGGCGAGCACTGATTAAACTTATCAACTTATTATCATGCTCATCGTAGTTGCCGCAGTGCGAAGATACACCTGCACTTCGTTCTCCAGTTGCACCTGGCACAGATTGTGCAGGGGATGTCTTAGTTGTTGGATTTGGACTTTGTATTATGTTATAGGACGACGAGGACATGGCTTACACTCACAAATCAGAAAATTTAAGCTTTAAAGTGAAATTCCACAACACAAAACAGTATTTATTGGGACTTAAACGTATTTGCAAACATTCAATTTAGGCACCATGGTTATGGAATTATTAACGCAGTTGTGGTTGACCTACAATCGCGTTCACTTGACATCGCCTTTTCAATTTTTATTATTAATATTATGGTTGACGGATACGCAGCCTAAATGCAGCATGCAACGCACTTTCAACTCTACCAACGTTTATTGATACATTTTTATTTATTTACATATGTGGAATTCATTACATTTTCTAAATTTAATCGATACGTCGGGAACCAGTTCGATTAATGAACAATCAGATTCCGACTTAAGCATTTTTTTCTAACAGGTACAACCACGAATAATTACTACCTTGCATAGTTTTGTCGTACTACATTTAACTTTTACATATAAAACAAGTCGGTATCTTACAACTTATATATTTTGCAATAACTTAACGATATATTAACAGCGATAAATCAGCTGTTGTAAAACACATATCGATTATTCATGTCTGACTTTGGACACTAACCATAGTTAGTGCTTTGGAGCATTCAATTGTAACATGCTTATCGCTTATTGTTGATAATAATAATAACATAATTCAGAATTACGCAGAAAAATGTAATGTATGTAAACAGCAGAAAGTTTTGAAAATTAACTTCTCTTACAACTATTTCATAAATGTAGAAAGTGTAGCTATCGATATTATAAAAACTGAATACAAACTGATTGCTATATCACTCGAAGTTTCAGTTATTTTTAAACTCATTTTGGTTAACAGTTCAAGGACGGGTTGGTTGTCAAAAAAAGTTGCTTAGTTATGCTTACCGAAACTGATTTCGCTTGTCGTATAAACTACCCATTTGTAGATTATTTTGTGTAGTATATGTTGTTTTCAGTATGGGCACTGCAGATCCATCTTGACACATTTGTCTAGCTCGGTCCATATCCCGTACATTCATTTTGATTTTAATTTAACTCAATTTAATAACAAAAATAAATTATATCAATTTTTTTAATTTTACGCATAAACACAACCGCACGCTGTAACTGCTCAAAGTGTACTATAGCATACGCCTATATTTTGAGATTTTATGCATTTCATATGACTAGATAAGCACGCACACCTGTCACGACCCACACACACAATGGCATACATATTTTGATATTGATTCGCACACCTTGAATCTGTTAACAAAAAAGGCAAAAACAATCTACAGTAAAAAAAAAAATTTTAAAACATGAAACAATGGCAAAAATCTGGTGTGTAAGTGTATCTTATGTAGACCTACGAAGCATTATCCATTCTCTTTCAGTTTTTTTTTTTGCCTAGACAAAAAGCCTGCTAATTGATGCTCGTTAAGTTCAAATGCGTATCATCGGAACTGCTCATAGCTTGACTATGGCAGTGCAAACAGATTAAGTCGAGGTGAGCAACATGTAACCACAATGTACATGGCATATTATGTGTACTTATATAAATAAAGCAACGAAACTTAAAGTCCACTTAAACTGAAGTATTTCGTTGAAGACTGCGCATGGGCAACTCAGGGAGAGAGTGTAAATAAAGTTTTTAATTAATTTTTCAAAGTATTCGAGTCGTTAAAAGTAAACAAACACATTTACACTACAGTGAAAGCTTACAAGCTTACTATTTTCCAAATGGGTGTCTCTGAAACTTACTACACATCATACAATTTTGTATTTTCAATCTCATCGAATATATCCTCCGATCCAGATGCAGTTAAGTCTGATAATTCATCAAGACATTTCTGGCGCTTGCGCACATTCCAATGCAGTCCATCGGCTAGCGACGCAAACCAGTCAGATATTTGATCTTGGGCACAAATACTGGGCACGGGATAAATTGACGTGGTTACGCGCAGACTGTCGCCATGAAACAGCTCTTGGCGATTGCGACCATCAAAGCTCACCCATGAAGTATTCCGACTCTCAGGTGAAACTGAAATCTGCATAACGCACAAAAGAAGCGAATTATATTTGCTTTCTTCTAAAAGTTTATTATTATTAGTACTTGCTTTTAATTCAACACCTGCGGGCACTACTATCGGTCGAAAACTCAACGAGTGCGGACATATTGGTGTGACCATAATGGCAGGCACGGAAGAATGTATCATGGAGGCACCAGCGGCCACCGCATACGCCGTGCTACCCGTAGGCGTGGACACAATCAAGCCATCGCCCTGCACCGACGTAATATACTTGCCATCTAAAAACAAATCAATATTGCTTAAGTACGGTGATGGGCCACGGTCAATTACGACTTCGTTTAATACTAATATGCTGTTGGCCAAGGAGGACGACGGCTCAGCATTCGAATCTACCGCATGTTCAAACCCGTGGGGATTTTCGGTTTTTCGATGCATCACGCAACGTAGCCGACTACGCAATGTAAGCGCTGCATGGCCCTCCAATATACTGGTTAGTTGTTCTTGGAAATTATCAAACCGAAATGGCGTCAAAAAGCCCAAAGATCCTAGGTGGAAGGCCATCACAGGTGGTACCGATTGCTGGAACAGTAGCGAAGCATATAATAGTGTGCCATCACCACCAAGACAGACAATAAAGTCGATACGGTCCGTAAGATCATCCCGGCCATCTCTGTTAGGAGAATATTTTTTTTTTAGATATAACTTACTGAAGGCAGCTAACTATGCTTAAAACTTGCTTGAAAGTCACCAGCTTATCGCGAATCGAGCGAAATTTTATGTCTTCGTTAAGAGTAACGTCGTCTAGCACCGCAGACTCTACCCAAACAACCATATTCTTCTCCTGAACCAACCAAGTGACCAGCTGCACGAATGGCGTCAGTACCGAGGCATCGCAGACTTTCTTGATGACCAGGACAGTGAGTGGGGGCTTGTACCAAGTCAGACGCTGACTGGCTGGATCCTGGATTTGCATAACCATTGCCGAGTTTTTCATAATACCCCCACATGGTCCAAATTGCTGGAACGGTGACGGTGCGTTTAGGCTGCGAGTACGCCTTTAAAGAAAAGAAAGATTCGTCTATTATCCATTGATTTTAAAGAAACGACTTTATTAGTGAAAAAGTGAGATTGCGGATATGTGAAGTATTTTCATTTATCTCTTTGATGCGCAGATGAGCGGATGATGGCAAATGAGACAAAAAAGCTCACCACCACCAGCTGCTGTTCATTCTGTCGTCAGACGCTATGCTGGATGCATCGTTGTCATTTACAACCCTTTTGCTAAAATTATGGCACGGTTGCGACTGTGGCGGACTTTGTTTTATATGATTGTGTTTGAACGATTCTGGCGTAGTAGACATTATAAAATTTCACTGTATTGAGTTTTAAAACATTTTTTTATTGAATACAAAAATGTGACTGTAGACTGCGTCTGGCAAAATACTGATAAAAAGTTAGGTTCCCAAAAATACCTAAGGTGGACATTGACATTAATATTGCATACTTTTAATAGCTGGTATTATTTACGAATAATATGCTTTCATTGAAGTTTTTTTTTTTCAATTTTATTGAATATTAATAGAGCATTACTGATATTGATATTAATATAGTTCATACATATTCCGTACTATTTTTAGTTTTTTACTTACCGAAATTGTTTACGTCTTTCATTCAAATCTAAAACACGTGCTCTCCTCAACGGCTTCGGAGAATTTAGTGTTTCATATTTGCTATCAGGATCATCCTCCACAGATATAGAGTTGGCTGCCATTTGGAGAGCCAAATGCATCTCTTCGTTGCTCATTTTGACAGGATGTTGTAAATTATTGTTTTACGATAAATTTGATCGCAACTTCACTGTCAGAGTGTTAAGTTTCAACTAAATGGTTTTCTATGCCTTAACTTATATAATATATACATCACCTGAATACAACATTTATTTACATACGTACGTGAATATACACAAACATGGACATGTATATGTAAAGTACTGTATTGAATAAGCACACATACTCGTACTTTGAATTTTAAAGATCGTGCTCGAAACAATAATGCAGCCTTCTATTGTATTCGAATAGAATATACCACGCACACAGTTCTACATCACTTAATAAGCTATTGCCAAAATACTGATGTAAAAGAAGAATTAGCATTCTCATCTTCATCCTGGATCTAGGAAGTATTAAAGGTCAATCAAAAGTGGAATGCCCCGATTGAATAATATTACGGTTACAGGGTATACCTGTAAATTTACATTTTATCTCAACAGACAGATTACATACATATATATGTACATATGTACATGCATATGTAATCACAGATATATTTTGTATATTTTGTATGCGAGTGAAAACATGTGTAGCGAGTCTTAATAATTTTTAGTTTCTGGCGAATAGTATAATGGTTTTGTTAGATGTATGTAATAGGCAGAAGGAGGCGCGGCAGACCCCATAAAGTATATACATATATATTTGATCAGCGCGACGAGCTGAGTCGATTTAGCTCTGTCCGTCCGTCCGTCTGTCCGTATGTTGAACGCGTCGATCTCAGAAGATATAGACCTTGAGACTTGAATTTTTTGTCCTAGGTCCTTGTATACCACGCGCATATCAAGTTTTGCTTCAAATATCGATAACTTGTCCCGTTATTTTTCGATCGATTAAAAACATGATCAAAAACCAGTAATAAATTTATATCTTCTACATCTTTAAAGCTAGAGTCGCCAAATTTTTAATTTAGATTTATATGTACTTTATGGAATTTCGATTTTTGTCAAAATTTAGATTGTCCATCCACAAGAAAAGTTATTAATCAATTAAATTCCCATAGTAAGCCACCACTGCAGCCAATGCCTGTTTATGCGTGCGTGCGTATGGCTGTGTGTGTGCATGTGCGAATAATTATTGAAATATCAGTTGCTCGAAGGGTTCAGGGGATCTCGTTGTCGGTCAGTCTCGACTAGAACTTTCTTACTTGTTTAATAAATTAATTGCGTTCACCCTGCGGCAAACAGGCGGAAACTATATGTAAACAATTATAGGTAATTCAAGGTAATCCATTGTAGCTACAAATTTATTGTGTATAAATTAAATCAATCAGTCCGTTCAGCTTATTTGGTTTTAATATAATATATATGTGTGATTTTTAGGAATTATTTCAATAATATATATTATGATTTAGTTGAATATTCGCAGTAAGCTCAAAAAGCTCACTGCTGTGCATAAAATACCAGTTTAGTTTTTGGTATTTTGTATATATATCGATTGAGTTCTCGATTAATCAGTAAGCGCTGAGGCAAAAATTATTTCAGTGAATTGTAACTGTAAGATTTGTTAAAAGTTACATAGCTTAAAAAAGAAAACAATAACTTCAATGGCAACGAAAGCGTCTTTAACTATGAAAATGCTAGCTAATCGTGTAGGCAACTTTGTACCCACGGCTTGTATAACGAACATAAGGTAAGCGCTAGCACATGGCCCACTTCTGTGACGTAATAATGGACGCTTAATTCTTGTGACCAAATCCTGACAGCTTGCTGCGCTATTCCCAATCACATTTGCTACGGGGTTATACAACGGAAAAGAAGGAGCAAGCGGTAGCTGAAGATGCCACAGCAGCGGACCAGAAAAAAGTGCCAGAATCGCTGGAGATTGAGAGGCTGACGCAAGAGTTGGCGGCAGCTAAAGAGCAAAACAACGAGCTTTTAGACAAATATAAGCGTGCACTGGCTGATAGCGAGAATATGCGCACACGGTTAAATAAACAAATAAGCGATGCGAAAATATTTGGAATACAAAGTTTTTGCAAGGATCTGCTAGAAGTGGCCGACACACTTGGCCACGCAACTCAAGCAGTTCCTAAAGAAAAAGTAATTTTAATTTAGTTCTCATTAATAACACAGAATTTATTATAAATTTGGTCTTATCTCTTAGCTCAACGACAATTCCGATCTGAAGAATCTGTTTGAAGGCTTAAGTATGACACGCGCTTCATTGCTTCAGGTGTTCAAGCGTCATGGTCTAGAACCAATTGATCCAATCAATGAAAAATTCAATCCAAATATGCACGAGGCACTGTTTCAAAAAGAAGACTCCACTGTTGAGGCAAACACGGTTATAGAGGTTACCAAGCTCGGCTACAAACTACACGAGCGTTGCATACGCCCCGCTCTGGTTGGCGTGTCCAAATGATAATACCACGATGCTCATCGCTATCCTATCTTATACGCAAGCGACATTTACATAGACTATTTTCCAGATTGCACTTTGTCTTATGCTGCTAAATTCATGTACGATACGATACTATGTAAATACATATAGGTTTCCCATATACAGGGAATTTACCCATTTCCTAGTTATTAAGCGCACTGAGGCGCTCAGGGTACAACTTACTTTCCCATCGGACTTAGATTCTTTAGTTTAAGGGATGTATTTTTAATAAACTCTAGTTTATTATTATTTTCAAATTGAAAATTTTCAAACAAACAATATTTATACATTTATCCACTAAGTTCGAAAATTCTGAGAAGGCATATGTAATTTGATAATTATACAGGTAGTCGATGGCAATGAATTTTCAATGGAAATCGTAATTTTCGATGGCCCAACAGGTAAAAAACGTTTCGCCTATGCCGTCGAACATTCGTAGAAACAAGAAAAGGGAATTCCACGAAAGTAGGCCCAAACAAGAATACGGATTAGGTTTCTCAAGGCTCGATCGACAATGATTTATCAGTTGTTCTTTTAACCTCGTGTTGAGCAGAATGTTCGCTGGGCTCCTGAAATTTCTTTTGCATTTGGCTCTGTGGCAATGTATAAGCGGACGTATTCCATTGATGCCCAAATTCTTCGGGCAAGACAGTGCAATTATTGTTGACACTGATAAGCTCAGATTGAATCCAAAGTTACAAAATGGAATCTATTATAATATTCCCGCCTTTAAGCTCATCAATCCGATCACCCATAATCCATCGTCTATTACGTACACAAAGACAGCAGTACCAAGAGGGGCTGGCGAGTATCCCAAGGATTTGATTGACATCGCTCGCACTAAGCTGGGCTTTAAGCGAATAGATCAGCTGCCCAGCCTAAGTGAGCTCGGGAGTCTGCTGGGCACTAGCAACGACGATGAGACAATCAAGTATGTGCGCTCTCTGACTTCCACGGATCAAGGCATAGCACTGATGAAGGCATACTTGGAGTCAACCGATTCCAACAATGATAGCGAGGATAAGCCAGAAGCAAATGATAATTATAACAATGCCGATTTCGATGTCGACTACGATGCGACGCCATCCAGGCTCGATATACCTGTAACAACGCCGCAGATGGAAACGGGGGGCTTGATGAAGGGTGTGAACGAGCTCATAAATCAATACAAATTGTGGCCGGGACTGGATAACAGCACCAAATCCAGACGGTTGCCATATAAGCATATGCTGGTGGCACCCGTTCAGCCAAGCAGCAACCATAAGCAGAGTTTAACACCAGCCTTACGACCCCTACTTTTACGGAGCCCATTGCCCTATCATTATCCTATTCCATTACGACCCGTATTATTTCCAAAACCCATGACAACTACTCCGAGGCCAGCCCCAGTCAGCAACGACGCAAACACGGATTTGAGGCCGCCACACCTCAACACTCCTAAGGGGACGACATCTGATCTCGTGGCACCGCATGTTCACGAGCTAGCGCGGATTGCTAATATTTCCCCAGACATTCTTGACAGCTTTTTGCAACAACAACCAAAGCTGGCCGAATTGGCGAAACGATTTAGTCGATTACCGCTGGTTCAGCAGCACAGCAAAGCTATTGACTCGCAATTGTTCATGGCTGTGAAAAGAGCCCTGGCACAGGATAACTTAAAGCGTTTGCTTGGAGCATCGCAGACATAGATTAAGTATGGTGTCCTCAATAATAAAAATTATATAAATATAACAAATACATAGTTTTAAACTGGGTTAGTAACGGAATTTACGATGTCCCTTTATAGCCATTCACATACATATATATGTGAATAAATACATTTAAATTCATACATATACATGTCGCGACACCTCAAAATGCAATGTTCATGGGATTTAGTGGTCAATGTATTATTAAATGTCGTTAGTTTTTTCTACCGTTGTTTGCATTATCGTCGCCTAATTATCAATCAGCGACAATTTACTGCTCAACGCAGGGTATTCTTGATAAATGCATACATATGTATGTACGTAATACAATGTGTGTTTAACAATTTAATGAAAATGATGTACTAGGTATTTTGAGCACATCACTTTGGTAAGATAGTTAAATTACTCTTTGTCCATTAAAATAGCACCCGAGAGAAGAAAGTTACTAAACTAACGAGCGTGCATTGGACAATAATTATTACTTAGGGTATTTTACAAAATTACTACATATATGTATCTTGACAGAAAAATAGAACCACGTGGCACGTGCATGTAGAGTACGCTTTCGAAATAACATAGATAGCATTGCGATATACAACGAGCAACGCTGAGTATTTTAACAGTGATATTTGTCACTGCAAACATAGTTATCGATAAAATAGACTGTAATGTATAGAGTTTACAGATTATCAACTCTGTGTATAATTGCAACAGTGCTAATGACAATCTAAATGGGAGCGCAAATTGCGTGATCAATCTTGACTTTAAACTCTCAGAGATGTCTGCGATTGTTCATAACTATAGACGATCAGTATTCACTTAATTTTAAGCGAGCATCTACTAACAGTTACCATTTCTTGAGCCAGCTTTTTATGATCAGCTAGTAAAGAAGTTCTTAACACAGAATGTTCGACGATAAGTTATAATAGTAAAAATGGAAATGTCAAAACCAAAATCAATGTAGGTGCTTTTCTCAATAACCGGATGACACCGGTTTCAAAGATTAAGAAAATCGTTATACAAAGTGGTATAGCCATTGCCACACTGTTCTAAATATTTTACTATTTACATATACACTCAAAGTGCACATTCGTAAACCCAAGGCTTATCAAGTTTATTTCAATAAATCATATGATTCGAATTTTCAAAAAACTTTTTTAAACTTTTTTTTAAAGTTATAATGAGAATGGTAATTACTGTAGGGAAATTGAAAAAATACTAGCTCTAGCGATATATCGATATTGGCAGGGCTGCTAGTAAATAAACTGAAACGGAACATACACGTCGTAAACGTCACCAAAAAACTACTTGCAAACAAATTATTGACAAATTTCGTATTAATAAAATGTTTAATTAAACTTATTCTTCCGTACACAATTGGCGAGTGTATGTGTGTATGAGTGTGTGTGCGCCTTGCTTTGCTAAGTGGAATAAACCTTCTGTACATATGTAAGGAACAGAGCTGCAGCAGCAAATTAAAAATTCGTACGTTTCGTGCCAAATTCCTAAAGGTTGAATCCAATTAGCTGCAATTACTGAGTCTGGACACAATGTCACTGCCAGGAAATGGTATTTATGTGGTACGAGGTGAAATGGCCACATTAATGACGGCTATGCGACGTGGTACGCGTTGGAACGCAACAGCCTACGTGGTAAGTTCCTAACGTACATATGTAGAATACATATGTATATATACTAACAACATATTTAACTTGATCATTTAAATGCAGGATGACGAGAAGGACGGCTTGTTAAAATCGTTCATCGATCTGAAGCAGGTGCTTAACCGAATTGAGGATCTGCGTTTAATTGAGCCGAACGTGTTTCTGGCGCCCTTTCTTGAGGTGATTCGAACAGCAGACACCACGGGACCATTAACTAGTCTCGCCTTAGCCTCAGTCAATAAATTTTTGTCATATGGCTTGATTGGTATGTACAAGATTATTTTTACGTCTCTTTGGGTCTTGCCATCTGATTATGAATTTTCTTTAATATTGAAAATTTAGATCCTACAACCCCAAATCTGGCTGTAATTGTAGAGATGATTGCAGATGCAGTTACACATGCCCGTTTTATGGGCACCGATCAGTCGTCTGACAGTGTAACATTTATGCGTGTTATCGAAGTGTTGCACACTCTAATCCGAAGCCCAGAAGGTGCCGCTGTTAGCAATGAATCGATGTGCGAAGTGATGCTCAGCTGTTTTAAGATCTGCTTCGAGCCGCGTCTTAGCGAACTGCTCCGCCGATCCGCAGAACAGTCTCTGAAGGATATGGTGCTATTGTTTTTCATGCGTCTGCCACAGTTCACAGAGGACGGCAGCGATACTGCACTACAAAAGCGGTTTACCATTTATGAAGCAGCTGGTGCAGCTACAGAGAAACATAAGCGTAAAGCACAGCCGTCCTTGACTGCGCCACAACGCAAATCATCTACAGCCGAAGAGCCCCCCCAGACGCCGCAGAGCGCGCTAGGGGCACCCACGCATTTGAAGGCACCTATTCTCGCAACTACACCTGCTTCTCCAGCTGGCAATATTCTGGATATGCAGGGCAAGATAACGCAGACACCCACCACAACAACAACTGTTAACAATGTTGGGAATACAATCAGTGCAGGACTTGATATACCATCAATTCAGGTGGAGGCTACGAAGCTTGACGAAGCAGCCGATGGAGAACAGGAGTCTACAATTGCCACGCTAGGCGACTCCAATAGCAGCGAATATATTAACTCTGTGGGAGTGCGGTTCACCCAGCAGTCGTCTAGCCAGGATGCGGCAGCATTGTCCTCTACGCTAACGCCTTATGGTCTGCCCTTCATTCAGGAGCTATTTCGGTTTCTTATTATATTGTGCAATCCGTTGGATAAGCAAAACTCGGACAGCATGATGCACACTGGTCTAAGCTTGCTGACCGTGGCCTTTGAGGTGGCTGCGGACAACATTGGAAAATATGAAGTGTTGCTGGAGCTGGTCAAAGATGACTTGTGCAGAAATCTAATATCGGTAATAATATGTATTATAAATATTGTATGGATAATTTAACACGTTTCCTATTTATCAGCTGCTCAGCTCCGAGCGTCTCAGCATCTTTGCCGCTGATTTACAGCTTTGTTTTTTGCTCTTTGAATCGCTTCGAGGCCATCTTAAATTTCAATTGGAGTGCTACCTGAAGAAGGTGAGCGAAATCATAGCAAGTGATAATCCGAAGACCCCATATGAGATGCGAGAACTGGCGTTAGACAATCTGCTGCAACTGTGGCGCATTCCTGGTTTTGTTACGGAATTGTACATTAACTATGACTGCGACCTGTACTGTACAGACATGTTTGAGAGTCTCACCAATTTACTCAGCAAGTACACGCTTTCAGCCACTAACGCAGTCTACAGTACGCACATTATCGCGATGGATACGCTAATCAGTGTCATCGACTGCATCGAACGTAACTGTGCGGCTGCCAAGAGCAATAACAGTCTCAACACTCTGGCTCAGACTCCAGCGATTGATGTTGGTGGCAGTCGACACTCGCGCCATAATAGCGGCCTTGAAGGCATAGTCATTGACAACGGGGAGGAGCACGTTGAAAACATAGCGAGCTTCATCAACAACAGCTCACAGCGTTTGCGACTGCAGTCTGCGGGAGAGAGTGGGGGCATAACAAGCGAACAACTAGCAAGCGTTAAGGAGAAGAAGCGTTTGTTGTCCAAGGGTACTGAGTGGTTTAATCAACGACCTGACAAAGGCATTCAGTACTTGCAAGAACACGGCATTCTAGATGCTCAACTTAATCCCATGCAAGTGGCACTTTTCCTGCGAGAGAACCCTGGTCTTGATAAAAAAATGATTGGAGAATATATCTCCAAAAAGAAAAACGTCGACTCTAAGATTCTCATCAACTTTGTGGATTCGTTTGACTTCACTGGGCTTCGCGTTGATCAAGCTCTACGACTCTATTTAGAAACTTTTCGGTTACCTGGCGAGGCGCCGTTAATATTTCTCGTATTGGAACACTTCTCGGATCATTGGCATGTAAGTAACTCATTTGCACAAGCAAGTACATTTCATGCAAGGTAGAATCTGTATTCAATAACTTGTTTTATAGAGTCAAAACAATGAGCCCTTTGCCAATACGGATGCCGCTTTCCGCTTGGCCTACGCTATCATCATGCTAAATATGGATCAGCACAATTCGAACGCTAAACGTCTTAACGTGCCCATGACGCTGGAAGACTTCACAAAGAACCTTCGTGGCCTAAATGGTGGTCAAGATTTTGATCAAGAAATGTTAGCGCAGATCTTCAATGCAATTAAGTGAGTGGGGTATAGTTGTTTTAAAGATAATTCTAAATGTATAATCTGTTCCCGCAGAAATGAAGAGATTGTGATGCCCGCAGAACAAACTGGACTTGTACGCGAAAATTATTTGTGGAAGATGTTGCTGCGTCGAGGCTCGACCCATGACGGGCATTTCCACTATGTGAGCGATGCTGCTTACGATGTGCAAATCTTTAATATTGTGTGGGGTGCTTCGTTAAGTGCTCTGAGCTTTATGTTCGACAAGAGCACCGAGACGGGATATCAGCGGACCCTGGCAGGTAATTTTGACTCAGCTTGATTCGAATTGAAGTTGATTAATTAATACAATCGAAAAACTTATCTGCTGCAGGCTTTAGTAAATCGGCAGCTATATCGGCGCATTACAATCTCCATGATGACTTTGATGCTCTTATCCTAACTCTGTGCAAGTTCACGACGCTGTTGAGCAGCGTAGAACAGCACGAGTCAGTGCCAGCCAACAATGAAATCCAGCAGGCAGTGAATTTTGGTCTCAATGCTAAGGCGCAAGCGGCAATGAGAACAGTGTTTCTCCTAGTGCACGGCTATGGAGACAGTCTCCGAGAAAGCTGGAAGCATATTTTGGACTTGTTTCTGCAGCTTTTCCGTTTGAAATTGCTACCCAAATCTCTGATTGAGGTAGAGGATTTCTGTGAACCCAATGGCAAGGCAATGCTGGTACTGGAGAAACCACGTGAAAAGCAAGAGTTGGGTCTTTTCTCTAGCCTCTATTCATTTATA